TTGTGTGCGTGCGTGCGTGCGTGCGTGCGTGCGTGCGTGCGTGCGTGCGTGCGTGCGTATGTGTAATGCGAATTGAACATTTAATTTGAATTATTATTGTAATCAGCTAATAATAGATATAATTTACAAAAGAGTAAAAGAGAGAATGGTGCAAAAAAAGCGCGATTGAAACGAACAAATTAGAAAAAAGATAATTCATGAATTTGAAAGTTCTGATATATAGACGATGATCTTTATGATCGCAATCCTAAGAATTACTAACAATCATAACAATTTATAATGGAATGAATTATATAGGAAGTTAAAAGATTTTTAGTGCGAATGTTAAGTAAATTAAGCAGTTCTTCCTCTTTATAACATCAAAAGAAAGGAGTTTATTTACCAATGTTGCAACAAAAACAAAGTATTGTACACGATATTATGTTAAGCCTGTTTGTCGTGTAGCCTTGATTATTATATATGATACATGATATATGTTAATTAATTTCACCAAAATACAGTACTCTCTTCCAATTCTTAATTTCTTAGGTATTAATAAGCAATTCTCTTAATTCCATAATTAATTCTCTTAAAATCGAATTTATGAAAAAATATTGCATCTTAATTCCTTAAACTAGATTTTTTTTTATGTTTTGTGTTATTCTTGATTGTAAATCGCGATGCGTTTTATAATATTCCTACCTTTATGTTTATTTCGAATAATTGTATCATATTTTACATTTCAATATATTTGCTTAATGAATAAAAGAAAGGAAAGAAAAAAAAGAATTTTTCTTTACACTGATTATTTACCCTAATTTTGAACTAAAACACGATAATCACAAAATATTTTTGATATTGCAGTCATACATTAATTTGTCACGCTGTATTTGGGTCCGCATTTATTGTTTCCGTTTTTATTGTAAAAAAATCACAATATCAATAATTCTCTATGTAATATGAATTAATTAAATTTTTGAGAAATAACCTTTTTTAATAAAAATTGTAATTTGTTACCCAAATTGTATTGAGATAGAAAAATGTTTTGTAAGATATATTTTGAATCGCAAAAATCGCAAAAATGCTGCATGAATACAGGAGGATTTAGGCATTAAAATTCCTGTTTGCGATAATAATATACAGAAATAATGAAATAATGAGACATTTAAAAATATATAGAAAATTAAAAAGAAAAAGTAAGAATACGCAGCAGACACTTGTTATCAAGTGGAAATAAAATTTAGGTAAAAATTATAAAAAACCGTGCGAAAAATTTACATTTTTCTTATTAATATTTATATTATAATATTATATATTATAATATTATATTATAATACTATTTGAGATGTGTCCATAATATGATATTGCCTTACTTTAAAGGAGTGAGAAGAATGAATGAAAAGTCATTTCTAGTAATTTACATTTTTTTATTTATTTAAACAATTTGTTGATGAATGCCTTGACCTCTTAGAA